CTTAAACTAATATAATCATTTCCAGTCTCTTTCTCTATTTAAAAAATAAATAACATATGCTAGCTGCTGCTGTTCCTCCTAAATCCTTTCAATATTCATAAGCTTACCTAGGTAAATTGAATATACAAAGATGTCACCATCTTTATAAATTATAGTGATAATTATTATTAGTAAATCATAAATTTTTTCAGAATTTAGTCCTAAATGGATTGGTGAATTCATCAGATGTCATTATTTTAAAGCTATCATCAATTATTTTTAAATTCTTTGGTTGAGCTCCACCCGATAGTGCGGATGGATTAATCTTTTCAGTTAAAGATAAAAAAGATTATCAAAGAAATCATAAGTTCCATTTTCTTATACCATGGTAATGAATTACATTGTCTAGATTCTAATTTATACGAAAATCGAAGATGTCTCGAAATAAGAAATATGTAGGTAAAATCAAATGTGAAATCATTTAAGTTATTAATTATAAGTGTCTTTATATATTATATTTATTTTATACATTAAATTAACTAAACGAATTTCTATGTAATTAGCTATTTCTAGAATTTCTAGCCTAAGAAATAATTGCAGAAAAATTTGAATATCTGAATAATGATATGATTAAATGAGTACAAGTATATATGATTTTTTAGAAGTAGTTCTCAAATCATTTGCCTTTCCAAAAATTCTCAAAGTGTGAGAATCTCAGAGTGTAAATTTTACTCATATAAATATATATACAAATGGGTTATTCATCTAAATCAAAAAAAAATGGATCAAAATCAATACTTAATTGTCCTGATTTGAAAGAATGAATTTTTAAATTATAATTATTGGAATTATACAGAAATTATGACAGGAATTGATGAAATGACTATTTTTTTGAGAAATTTAAAACTTTGTTTCAATCTCCTTTAATTAATTGGACATAAAGTTAATACCCTTAACAACTTAATAAATGAAAATAATACTAATAAACGATTCTAAATCGCCATTCTTGATGATGAAATAGTTTCAAAGTTGTATTTGATGGTAAGAAGAATCCAAAAACTTAAAAATTATCAGATCCTACAATAAGACAATTATGAAAATGTAAGGAAATCAAAATTATATTTAGCCATTCATTATAATTATTATTGTTTATTTTGATATATTTCAATCATCGTAATTGATTGATGAGACCTATTAACAGCATTTAGTCACAGGCCCTATTATTTCCACCCAAACACCAACTTTTTTCCCATTTTTATACTCCCCTTTCCAGGTAACTGCTAAATTATACATAGATTGTTCACAAAATTCAACCCAATTTCCAATCTTAATCTCGTCACCTGATTCGTCATATTACCCACCACCACTTAAATAGATTCAGGTATAATATTTACATTAATACTGTGTCATAAAAATATTCCCATAAACCTACTTTTTTACCTTTCTTATATCCCCCTTTCTCAATTATTAATAATTTGTCCATAGACCATTCGCAAATGTCTATCCACTCGTCAATTTTATTCCCATCTCCATCATATGCTCCTCCACCTCTAAAATTTTTTCTATAATATATTAAAGTTACGTTATATGTGGCTGATCCATATATTTTTAATCCCACCATCCAATTTTCTTACCGTTTTTAATATTCACCTTAATATTGAACTGGATAATCGCTAAATTCAATCCAATTTCCAATTTTTATCTCATTTTATCCAAAACTATATGATCCGCTACCACTAAAATAGTTAGAAAAATTATTACATATATTCTTATTCTTATCTTTTTCTAGAAAACAAATACCAACAGTGCCCAACCCTTTTTGCCATTGTTATAGTAACCTTCTGAAAACATTTCGGAGTATCCATTTCTTATCTTTCTCCATTTTCCAGTCTTCACTCCATCAGAATATTCTCCTCCTCCTATAATAGTTGGTTTATTTAAATCCAGGCCCCAAGTAATATTCCATCTTCCAATTTTCTTCCCTAATTAATACTCTCCACAATAGAAGAGGCTTCCTCCTTCATGATCTTTTATTTCAATCCATTAGCCCTACTTAATATCCAAACTTCCATAATATAATCCACCTACACTATAAATTATTGTAACTGCTTTGTATTACATTATATCATGATGGTAATTGAGAAGGTCCCATCTACCAAATTTTTTTCCTTTTTCATATCCACCTTGAAAAAAATGATAAGAATTAATGTGCTCGATCCAGTTTCCAATTTTAATTCCATCATCATCATAAAAACCACCTCTAAAAAATTTTTACTTCACAATTTTACGTAATTTTTTCACAATCTAAAAATATCCCATCTGCCAACTTTTTTACCATTTGAATATTCTCCAGCGAGCCTAAGTAACCAATCAATATTTTATGTGTAATTTATCACCTCTTCCCATTTACCAATCTTAATCCCTTCATTATAATATCCACCACCACTAAAATATTGAATGGAAGATATTAGAATTACATTTAAATATAAGATTTCTTCTTTGTATTAAAATCCTCAACCCATCTCAAAATTTTCCATTCGCCCACTTTTTTACAACATCTCACTTCTCCTATAAATATTAATTTTGAGGGCCTTTATCATTTTTATAAAAAATACATTTGACTTTTATATATTTCTATTCCTTGATCATCATAATTAGAGCATCCACTAAGTCACAAAAATAAAGATATTATTACACTAACATTTATTCGTCAGCATCTTCGGAGGTCAGGAGATATTTTTTCCATAACCCAACTTTTTTATTGGCTTTGTATTCCCCATCTTCAACTATGAAAGTTGTTATTCCATCACTAAAATCTATCCATCTTCCAATCTTCATTCCATAACCTTCTTCATCATAAGTTCCACCACCACTAATAATACTACTATCACATTTAGAAATTTATTTTTGCAATAAAATTTCCCACCTCCCAACTTTTTTGTCGCCTCTAAATTCTCCAATCCTCAGAATTTTTTAAGGACTAGTAAATTATAATTATTCACAAATACAATCCGCTTCTATAAATCTCATTTCCTTCATCATCATAATTCATACAAGACCTATATTTTAGAATTATATTTGATTTTACTTAATCCTCTTTTACTAATTTAATTCTTTCCATAAGCCAATTTTTTTGTTATCTTTATACTCACCACAATATATATTATATTCATCTTTCAACTCTATCCATTTGCCAATCTTCATACCACTTCCATCACTATCATATGATCCTCCTCCGCTAATAATAATTGTATTCTTTCAAATTTACATTTCGTCTTAGTTAGCGGATGTTTCAGTAGTAAGTATACTCCATCTCCCAATCTTTTTCTTCCCTTTGAACTCTCCAATCCTCAGAATTTTTTAAGGACTATTAATTGATAATGATTCACAAATACAATCCGCTTCTATAAATCTCATTTCCTTCATCATCATAATTCATACAAGACCTATATTTTAGAATTATATTTGATTTTACTTAATCCTCTTTTACTAATTTAATTCTTTCCATAAGCCAATTTTTTTGTTATCTTTATACTCACCACAATATATATGACATTCATCTTTCCGCTCTATCCATTGACCAATCTTCATACCACTTCCATCACTATCATATGATCCTCCACCACTAAATAATTTATGAATAAAAGGTAACATTATTAATTTTTTCAAATCCTATACACCGCTCTCATATGCATAATTATCCTGACCAATGTCTTAACGATCATCAGTTAAGCCAGTAATAAACTGCAACAAATTTCGAAATGGCGCATTATTTCGACACCAAGACCCATATTAAAAAAATTACCATTTGCCAACTTTTTTATCTTTTTAATATTATCCATAGTATAGTATCTCGCCATTCTTAGAATCCACATCAATCAGCTCAAACCATCCTCCAGTTTTAAGCCCTTCACATTCTGTATCATAAGATCCTCCACCACTAAATAAATTATGAATAAATTTTAACATTAATGTTATTCTTTACTATTCGAAATTCTAAACCAAGCCTCTATTTGCATCATTATCATGACCAATTTGTTAATGATCATTGGAAAAGCCAGTAGTAAACTGTACTACATCTTTATAAATATCATCTTCATGATTTTGTTTTGAATATATAAATAACCTCCATTTGCCAACTTTTTTATCTTTTTAATATTATCCAAAGTATAGTATATCATCATTATAATCCTTCTTAATCAGCTCAATCCATACCCCAGACTTAACTCCCTCTCCCTTTGTATCATAGGATCCTCCACCACTAAAATATATATTTTATTTTTGAATTGATATTTACATCAAGCTAAATTGCTCCAGATCCTTAGGTTAACAGAGAATATCCCATATACCAACCTTACAACCTTTTTGATAAACACCCTGATAACTTATTCTATATGAACTAATGTCCAAATCACTTAATTCTATCCATTTACCATTTTTTAATCCTTTATCATAATAACCCAAGCCACAAACAAAATAGATATCGGTTTCATTTTAATATAATGAATGAACAATAGTCCAAACACCAACTTATATGTCATTTTCATATTCTCCTGCTTCTAAATGCTCTTGAATGAATTACACAAGGTCCATTTTCCAGTTTTACGCCCTGTCTAATCGTAAGTTCCACCACCACTAAAAGAATTATTTTTTAATATTTACATTATGAATTCCTTGTTTTCTTATTCATGATCCGCCTAAGAAATTATTTTCCATTGACCAACTCGTTTACCTTGATAATATTCACCATAAAAAATAATTTCTTTATCGCTAATAATTTCTTTCCATTTGCCAATCTTATCTCCATTTTAATCATAGAATCCGCCACCCCTAAAATATATTTTTAGTAAAGACTACTTTGCATTAGTTCCTTCGCAAGTGCATTCCCACCTTCCAAATTTTTTACCATTACGATATTCACCTTAATAACGGAGTAGCTTATTTTTTGGTTATCCATTTCCACTCTCATACATATATTCAATCCATTCGCCAATCTTTATTTCACCCCCTGAGTTGTCATAGAATCCTCCTCCACTAATTAAAATTGTATTCCTCAAATTTTACCTTTCTTTATAACCTTTTTAACCCTAAATAAGCACTTCCCACCTTCCAAGCTTTTTGAGGCCTTTGAAATTTCCCATCAACACAACCTCTTTAGGTCTAATTAATAAATTATAATGACTCACTAAGACAATCCTTTTCTAAAAATCTCGTCTCCTTCATCATCATAATTCATAAACGAACTATATTTTAGAATTATAGTTAATTTTACATAATCTCCCCATTATCCTAAGTTTATTCTTTCCATAAGCCAATTTTTTTGTTATCTTTATACTCACCACAATATATATTATATTCATCTTTCAACTCTATCCATTTGCCAATCTTCATATCACTTCCATCACTATCATATGATCCTCCTCCGCTAATAATAATTGTATTCTTTCAAATTTACATTTCTTTATAATATGTAGACCTTTTAGCTTTAAAAAGTATATCCCATCTCCCAATCTTTATCTTCCCATTGAATAGTCCACCCCAAGAATAAACATTAAGTCTAAATAATTATAACGATTCAATAATACTCTTCGCTACTATAAATCACATTTCCTTTATCATCATAATTCCTAAAAGAACTACATTTTTTAGAATTATATTTGATTTTACCTAATAAGATCTTAATCTAAGACTTTCCATAAACCAATTTTTTTATTATTTTTATAAACTCCAGCATATGTCTTCAATCCTTTCCATTATTCTACCCATTTTCCAATCTTCATTCCTTCATTATCATAAAATCCTCCTCCTCTAATGATAGATGTATTTTTATAAGTTTACAATTCCTTATATTTTCCTTCAATAGATTTATATAAAATATTCCACCTTCCAATTTTTTTATTATCTATAAACTCTCCTACCCATAGTACAACATCAGGTCTAATTATAATTAATGAAAAACAAATACTTTCCACTCCTAAAAATCCTTATTCCTGATTAACTATAATATATATTTGAAATAATTTCAATTTATTTACAATTTCCCCTTATCATTTAATTATCATATTCTTCCCAATAACCAATTTTTTTATTATCTTTATACTCGCCACAAAATATATTCTATTCATAAGATATCTCTATCCATTTCCCAATCTTCATACAACTTCCTTCATTATCATAAGATCCTCCTCCGCTAATGATAAGTTTAAATTCGATATTTACATTACAGTAGAACGAAGTAAAATATCCCATCTTCCAATTTTTTTACTATCCTTAAATTCTCCTTCCCATAATATTGCTTTAGATTCATTTAAATATAATGGATTTGAAAAAATCTTGATTCCATTAGAATCGTAATAACTCCACTAATGAGGTTTTTAATTATTCCACATCCCAACCTTATTATTTTTTGAGTATTAACCCGTATTGCCATTTGCAATCCACTTCCCTATTTTACAATCTTTTTAATATTACCCCTCACAACTATACGTGAATAATAATATTTACATAAATGTATAATTCTTATTAGAATGAGACCAAGACCAAGAATTCCATTGTCCCATCTTTTCCCCGTTCAAATATTAACCGACATCAACAATCATCTCATTAAAATCAAGCCACTAGCCTATTTTAAGACCCTTTATATCATATTATCCTCCCCCTCTAAATAGTTTATAAATTTAGGCGTTACATAAAAATGTATTATTCCTATTCTTAATCTTGGTTATATTGTGTACCAACATTTTAACTCAATTATGCCTGCCCATAAAATCCTTGAATTTCTAGAAATAATCCCTTATTATTTCTATACCCTGAATCTTTACTTTATATTTCACTAGAATAACTATTTTGTTTAATATTATACTATCTGTTTGATGCATCTTTCACTAATATATCCCACCATCCAATTTTTTTATCATTTTTATATTAACCCAAATAGTAAGTAAAATAATCATACTAACCCGACCTCAATTCACACCACTAACCAGTCTTAAAAAAATTTTCTTTTTCATCATAAGACCCTCCACCTCTAAGAATATTGATAATGTATATACATTATAGTAAATGAGTTTTCCTTACTTTACCAATTTGTACAACTGATATCCCAATTACCAACCTTTTTTCCTTATTGATAAACCCCACTGTAAATAAATGCCCCTTTTCTATTTTCAAATTCAATCCATTTCCCAATTTTAATTTCATCCCCTTCCTAACTGTAAGATCCTCCACTACTGAAAATTATGATATATAGTGAATTATACTTTATAAAAAGTGGGTTAATCTTGGTATAGGTATTCTTGGTATAGGTTGAATCCCATCTTCCAATTTTTTTCCCATTTTTAAACACGCCATTCCAAAAATGGAGGTTGTTCTCAAAATGGAGGTTATTTGAAACCTCTATCCACCTTCCAATTTTAATGCCATCACCTTCATCGCAATAAACTCCACCACCACAAATTTAATTGTTATTAATTTCTAAGGTCTCCCAGGATTAGTGACAATATCTAAGAGTCCATAAACCGACCTTTTTGCCTTTCTTATATTCTCCTTCATAAAGAAACATAGACTTCAATTTGACAAACTCAATCCATTTTCCAATTTTTATATCATTACCTTCATTGCTATACTCTCCACCACCACTACATTGTTATTAATATCAAAGATATACATATGTTTTCCACAATGTTCAATAGTCCATAAACCAACCTTTTTGCCGTTCCTATATTCTCCCCCATATGAAATTGTGAGTTTATAGCTATCAGGCTCTAACCATGTTCCAATTTTAATTCCATTTTAAAAAAGTCCACCAACGCTCCTTATCTTTATGTTCTCATATGTGCTCTAATACTATTCATCTAACCATTTTCTTTCAAAAGAATTCAAGGAGTCGTTTTCCCCATATGAAGATTAAAAGGTTCTAATTTTCCATCTGCCAACCTTTTTCCCATTTTCATATTTTCCTTAATGCTCATGAAATTCAATAATTTCAGTCCACTCCCCATTCTTTAATGATTTTTCTCCTCCATTATATGATCCAAAGAAAGAACTAGTTTGATTTACTTAATTTTTACCGTCTATTCTTTATAAATTCAGATATCTTCCATTTCCCAATTCTTTTACTTCTCTCATACAATCCTTCATACTGAAGATTTATTTTTCTAAATCGATAATCAATCCAATATCCAATCTTCTCTGCTTATTCATTATAATTTCCCCCTCCACTTTTAATTAATAATCAAAATTAATACATATATTCAAAGTTATAGCAATACTTCCACGTCCCTTGCCTCAGATTATTCACATATTCGCCCACTTCTAAAAGATTCATTTCTTGAAAATAATCTTTAACCATTTCTATCCAATAACCATATTTCATTCCATTTTAAGAGTACGAACCACAAGAAACTATTTGTTTTGTATCCATCCATTCTGCTGTCCATAAGCCTACTTTCTTGTAATCATTCCCTAATTCACCTTTCCAATGAACGTGCTTGAGGACATCTAGATTTTTAATTATTTGTGGCTTATTTAGTAAATCATAAATTATAATCCTATTATAAATATTAATTTCTACGTCTAAAGAATTTCACCATTGCATTTATACTAAATTTCATTAAACTTAGTGTATATTATTTGACATTTAGTTTTCGTTGATTTAGATTTGGCATCCAGAAAACCATCATACTCTTACTATTTTTTATATGCCAAAACTCCCTAAAATTATTCTGTTATAAATTGTTATAATTTTTCTACTTCTGATTTCAACATTAAAGTAGCCTATTATGATTAATTGAAGTAATGGGATTTTGATTTATTCCAGTTATTTAGTTCATCGGTTTATAAAATATTTATTAATATTTCAAGATCTGAATAAGAATACTCTGATGGTGATAGCCCAGAGTTCATTAAATTCAAATATATAATATCTTAGTCTTCAATACCTTCATTAATTTTTTAGAAAGATTCTCTTAAGTCTTTCCAAACTCCGATTAACTGGTAATCAATTTATTTGATTAAATCTGGAAATGTGAATTTTTCTTTCAATTATTATTTATAAAGTTGAAATTCTTCACTTTTGAGTTTTAATTTATTAAGGACTCTTTAGAAAGGGAGATATTATTTCGTATCTCCTCCATGGTAGTACTAACATTCACTACATAGTTTTTTTTAACATCCATGAGGTTCTATACATATCACATTTATTTTTTTGCCAGGATGAATCGGACAAATCATATTTTAATTTAAATATTATCATTTTCTATTACTATTTTATAGTCTTAATATATATATCATTTTTGTCAAAAAAGAAGGCTTTGGATAACATTTTCAAAATTGAATCATATTTCCAAACTTCTACTTTTTCTTTTAATATAATAGGCCACAAGCATAGAAATTCTACCTATCCTTTTTGATATTGATAATTATTAGAATAAATATAATTATTATGATGGATATTTTCGCAAATTAATCAGCTGTTCATTGGATGAGCCATCTTTTTCAAACTTTTGTTATTGAAAGGGTTGATGCTATATGATTTTATAAGGAAAGGTTAAAAGGTTTTTGGTTACCAATTTTCAGGCTACGCGATTGGTTCTTACTATTCCTATGGAAGAAGAGCGTACAGGGTTATGGGTACTTCTAAAATTGGCTTTGAACTATTATCTGTACAAACTTAAAGTATATTAAATATATGTACCTTCAAAATTTTGGCTTATTATCACATAATATCAAAAATTCACAAGATTTCCATTTGTTGAAGGTGCGAGAACAAGGGTTGGATTTTTAACATTGGCCAATTGTAATGAAAATCCTGTTGATGAGGATGATAATAGCTTCATTCCTTTTTATATTCCACTCCGAGATACGGAGTTTAATTTACTTCTTACCTCTTTTAAGCACCTGAATTAGATCGGATGATTAGTCTACTCATTATAATCACATCATCTTTTTCAAGATTAAGCATACAATATGAATTATCAATATCATAGGTTAAGTTAAAAAGTTCTCCTGATTAATATAAATTTTTCTCTGCTTTTGAGGTTATCGAACAAAACTATATTTAATATTATGCTTACTACTTGTTATTTACAACACCATGTTGTCAGATTAGAAGTCACTTTTTCTGAAGAAGCTTATAATATTTCTTAAATTGGTTCTCTAATGATAATTTCTTATTCATTCTTGATATTATTAACTGATTTAGAGTTCGATATTATTCGAACTTTGATTTTGTAGCCTACACTTGCAAGGAGACCATACGAATGATAGAAAGATCCAAGTAGATCTAATGGAAGTTCTAATTCAAAAGGAAAAACAAATTGTCCAACCATTAAGTTTTCGTTTAAATATGTATTTATAACAAAGGAGTCTTCGTAAAATACATTTTTCCCATGATGTGTAGTACCGCCTTTCCCAATACTAACTTCCCATTCAGTTTTCTCTTTTCCAACTATTGAAAATTAAACGACGTTTCCATGATAACCTGATTTTATAATGTGAAGGTATATATTTCCTAAAATAGTAGATAATTTACATTTTACAAATTCTCCAGAAAAATAAATGGTTTTTTTTGTTCTCAACATAATGCCTCCAAATTCCGATCCTTATTTATTACCCATAATATGTTATAGATATAATTAATTGAAGTTTCAGAAATAATCACAACCTAAATTGTTAGAAGATTTGAGTTTATTCCTTCTAAATCTGAAATGAAAATTGAAGTTCTACCTTTTTGTTTTAACAATAACAGAATGTAGCAGCTAATTTTTAAAGATTTTATAATTCTGTTAGCGTCAAGATTTCTCATTAATTTCTAAATGATTTTTTTAGCAAGTTAAAAACACTTCTATATCATTTAAAGACTAAATTACAGAACTAACAAACATCTAATAATAATAATATTTCATTTTAGTTGAATTTTTAAGTTATTTATGTAAGAGTATTTCATTACAATTAAATAATATTAAATTCAACTATGAAAGATAAAAAATAAAGATTTCATCAGCCAAAAGAATGTTACATTCAAATACTGAAAAGTTCAATAATCGGTATAAAATAGAAATTTCCATGAAACCTGATTGTTAATAAACTCCTTTAGAATTATTGAAATTTTAGGGATAATTTAGCGAGCATTATATAGAGATGATAACAGATTAGGCTGAAAATTGCATGTTTATAGAAATATATACAAATATAAATAGAATGTTTATGGAGATACATTTAATATAAGAAAAATAACAGAAATTATGAGTTTAAATGACATAGGCTATTTAATATTTTTTGCTTTATTAATAGATATCTAAAATAGAAAAGAAATAATAACCAAGAAGCACAGATGTTTGTTTCATTCGAGAGGATATTTAAATCATAAAAAATGGCATGATAAATAACAAATAAATATTGAAATGAAAAACAATGAATCTCATTATTAAAATTTCAAATTAAGAAAAGGCTTTTAAAGAGAGAAATGAACTCCAAATTTCTATAATAATATCTATTTTAATGATAATTCTTTAATAGACATTTATTATGAAAAAATAAAATTAAAGAAATTAAGTCCATTTCTGTGAGATATGAGAAATGTAATAGGAAGTATGATCTCATTTCCGAATGTCACTATGTTTATTCTTAAACAAAAAAATAAATATCCTGCCGTTCCTGTGTGAAGATCCTATAAAAATAGCATATATTAAATGTAGAATAGACTAGAGAAATATTGTCAGAGTGTCAATAAATAAAAGCATCTCTAACATAAAATAAGATAGTTGAAATGTCTTCAAATTCAATTTTTTTCAATAACATTACAGATCCACTGAAAAAATTGCTCCAAAATTCAACAGAATTTCAAAACAATAGCAACTTTGATGAATGCAATTTTTTAATTGTATTGTAAAGAGAGAGTGCAATCTAAACATTATTTGAAAATCACCTCCTTAAACAGCAAATTGAAAATGCTTCTGACAATCTAAAAAGCATTATTAAATAGTATTAAAATGTTTTTAATGAAAAAAAATCTAATCGCCCTAACCTAGATACTAGTACTAGCTCTAGCAGAGTATATTGGAGCCAC